CCCTTCCCCCCTCCCCGTCCCCGTCCCCGTCCCCAGGGTCCCTACTGTTAATGAAGTTGTGCTCCTCCAGGGAGTGGACGCTGGTCAGGTGGCCGGCGCGGCGGCGACAATCCCTCTCTGCCTCCTCCCATGCCCGCCGGTGGGCGAAATAGCGGTAGCAGTGGCCCTGGAACTTGTGCCAGCCGCGGTCACAGCCTTCCGTGTCTGGGAGCGGATGGGAGCGTGAGGGCGCTGGCCCAGCCCGAGCTCACCGCTGGGCTAGGTCTGCTCTCCCTTAGGGACCCAAGCACCGGGCCCTTCCCCTACCCCCATTCCCATTTTAATTCATTTTTTCCGTGCTGGGAATGGAACCCTGGGCCTTCACACTGAGCTACATCCCCGGTCCTTTATTTTGAGACAGGGTCTTGGTATACAGCTAAATTGCCCAGGCTGGTCTTGCATCTGAAATCCTCCTGCCTCGGCCTCCCAGAGGGCTCAGATTATAGGCATGGACCATCACACCTGTTTCAAAATTCCTTTCTTTGTTGCTGGCAGACATTAGAGTGAAAGAACAGCACACCCAATCCTGTCACTCCAACTTGGGCCCTCCTTCCCTGGTGCCCAGGCCACACCTCCATGTGAATGGGGGGCTTGGGAAGTGGTCTTGGGAAACCCAAAATTTCCCTCCTGGCAAAGAGCTCAGACAGACATTTCTCCAAAGAAGATGAGTGAATAGCCAACATGCACAGGAAAACGCAAGGGCAACCACAATATATGGTAACTGTTTCAATTTTAAAAGTTTATTACAGTGAAAGACACATGGCCATGAATCTCCCTCAAAATCCACCCCCTTACTTTGAACACACTTATGCCCTCATTCTTGCCACTTTCTGTGATCTGCCCATTTTGTGTTTGTTTGTTTGTTTGTTTGTTTGATACAAGGTCTCACTCTGCAGCCCAAGCTGATCTTGAGCTTGCAGTGAGCTGCCACAGCCTCCCAAGTCCGGGGATTAAAAGTGCATGCCACAACACCTGGCTGACCTTGCCACTTTCTGAAGTAGTTCTGGAGCTTTCTTTCCTAAGTGTCTTTATGATGTGTGATCAAAAATATGGTGATTGCTGGTGCTGAGCACCATCCAACAGAAAGGCAGACTGTTAAGAACACAACGCTGTGTCCTCATCCACCGTATTCACTGGATCTGGCACTGAGTGACTTCCACCTCTTCCCCAAGTCAAGATGACCATGAAAGGGACATGTTTGGAATCGATTCAGGACATCGAGGCATCCAGGACAGCGTGACTAAAGACACTCAGGAAAGAGGGCTCCAGAGCTGCCACAGAAAGTGACCAGGACAATGGGATGAGCAGGTTCAAAGTTCAGGGGAGGATTTCAAGGTGGATTCACGGCCATGTGCCTTTTGCTGAAATAAAATTTTTACCTAAGCATTTATCCAATTTTTTTCATAATATCTCATATGCTCACCATTAATCATTCGGAAAGGGAGACCAAAACCACAGTGAGATATGACTTCAGAACCATTAGGATGATTGTAACAACAAAAAGGGGAAGAAGAAAATAAGTATTGGCGAGGACGTGGAAAAGTGGATCACTTGTGCATTAGTGGTGGAAACATGAAATAGTGCAGCCACTGTGGAACACAGCTTTGCCATTCTAAAAGCTAAAGAGAAGGGGCCGGGGATTTAGCTCAGTAGTTCTGCTGCCTGCCTCGAAAGCGCAAGGACCTGAGTTTGATCCCTGGTACCAAAATAAAAGCTAAAAAGATTAAAAAAGAATGGGGAAAAAGGAAAGCAAGCAGACAAACATAAATGTGCACACAAATGGTCATAGAAGCATTATTCTCACTGGCCACAAAGGGACACAACCAAACTGCCCATCAAATGATAAATAAATGTAGACTGTCCCATGCAGTGGAATATTATGTAACCATAAAAAAGGAATGAAGGACTGATTTCTGTTAAAATGTGGATGCAGCTTGGAAACGTGGTCAGTGAATGAAGCCAGACACCACAGGAAGATTATGAGTCTAATTCTATGAAATGTCCAGAACAGGCAAATCCATACAGACAGATCAGGAGCCACCAGGGGCTGTAGGATGGAAATAAGGAATGACAACTAATGGGATATGATGGTTACACAACACTGTGAACTGACTCAGTCCCACAGAGTTGTACACTTTAACATGGCAGAGCTGGGCACAGTGGTATGCGCCTGTAGTCCCAGCTATTCTGGGGGCTCAGGCAGCCTGATCACTTGAACTTAGGAATTTGAGATAAGCGTGGGCAACATAATAAGATGCCATGGCAAGAAAAAAAAAAAGGCTTATTCTGTGTTTTATGAATTTTTCTAAAAAAAAAAAAAAAATTCCACCTCCTGAGGGACTCACAGCAAGGCCAAGATCTGGGACCCAGGGAGACTCACCTTTCTCACACAGGCTGCCCCCATAGCTGGGGAGGCAAAGGCAGACAAAGCCATTGACCTCATCAATACAGGTCCCTCCGTTCTCACAGGGGCTGCAGACACAGTCATCGATGTCTGGCGGGGACAGGGAGGGGACAAGTGAGACAGCAGCCTCCCCTCAGCTCCAGCCACCATAGGGAACCAAGTCCATGCCAGAAAGGACCCTTCACAAATGGCCCAATGACCACGGCCGGGGGTGGGGCCTTGCATAATCAATGTAAATTAGCATTAATGAGCAAGATGGCTGTGCTGAATCAGGCAGGATGGGCAGAAGGTTTCTCCTGACTCCAGAATAATCCAAGCCCATTTCCCCCTCACCAGTCCCTGTGCAGATAGTGCTTCAAGCACATAGGACACCAGGCAAGTTGTATCCCTTCTCTGAGACTCAGTTTCTTTTTGTTGTTCTTTTTTGTTTTGTTTTGTTTTGTTCTTTTGGTACCGGGGATCAAACTCAGGACCTTGCGCTTTTGAGGCAGGCAGTGGCACCACTGAGCTAAATCCCCGGCCCCTCAGTTTCTCTTTTTGCAAAGCTATAACAATAACAGTACCTTCTCTTTTTTTTGGTACTGGGGATCGAACTCGGGACCTTGTGCTTGCAAGGCAGGCAGTGGAACCACTGAGCTAAATCCCCAGCCCTTGTGCCTTCTTAAGAGTAACTGTGAGCACAAAGGCAATGAAAGAGCTTGAGAAGTTATGTCCTTTATATTTATTGTGATCATCTAGAACTAGTAGTGTGGTTATGAAGTCACAGGGATGATGCCTACAGCTCAGGAAATTATGCCATTTATGTTTATTGCTTTAATTTCACCATTTGTAGCATTTCCTCTGTTGAGCTCTGGAGCAACCAGCAACAGTTATGGCGCTGGTGGTGCCTGTGTCCCAGCCCTGCCAGGGGAGGGCAGGACCCCCAGGGCCAGGCAGGGAGGAGTCAGGGCTGCGTCCCCTCCCCAGCCCCAATTGCCAGGGATGAGAGCATTTGGTGACCTCAGTCCTGAGGGTGGGGCTACACGGGGGAGACCCTAAGGGGCCAGAACTGAGCAGATCTGAGCCCAGAGCACTCACCAATCTCGCAGTTCTCCCCAGCAAAGCCCTGGTCACAGCTGCAGCCATAAACAGTGCCATTGGTGTTACAGGTTCCACCGTGCAAGCAAGGGTTGTTCTCGCAGGGGTCAGAGGGAACTGCAGGTGGAGGGGCAATGTGAGGATCTCAGCACACCCCCCCAGATCCCTCTCATCAGTCCATCCTCTCCAGAGTGCCCTCCATAATACCCAGTGTGGGGTTCCTCTATCTTTAGGCAGGCTCCTCCAAGCCATGTCTGACTTGTCTTCCTCTTCTGGACATGCCCTGCTCATCATTGTCCTCAATATTTGGGCCACAGTGGCCACAAGGCTCCAAGTGGGGTGTGAACAGCATTGCAAAAAATAAAGGAATCCCCTTCTTCATTCTGTTGGCTCAACCCCCTTTTTTTTTTTTTTAGTACTGGGGATTGAACTTGGGTCTTTGCACTTGGGCAACAGGCCGGCAAAACCACTGAGCTAAATCCCCAGCCCAGGCTCAACCTCTTTTGATGTGACCTTAGTGGTTATAATGCAGTGAGGAGGTGAATTACAGTGGCTCCCATGCCAGGCTGCAGAGTCTGACAGGTCTGGTTCAGACTCCATCCAGCTCTACCATTCACTAGGGGACCCTTGGCAAGGCACTTCTCTGGATTTCAGTTGCCTCATCTATAAAGCAGAATAAAAACAGTTCATGCCTCTCTCCCAGCCCTGACCCCAAGGCTGTGTCTGGATCTATCATCGACCTGCCAACTTTGGCAGGGCCCCACTCTGTCCAGGAGATGCCACAACCAAGGCACAGAGGAGGGCAAGGGTTTATCCAAGGCCCCACAGCAAGCAGGGCACAACCCCAGGAGGGCGACTGGATCTCCAGGAGCCTGGATTAAGGCCCTCTGTCTGGCCCCGATCATGCAGAATTTACTTCCCTTATGTCATGACCTGCGGCCTCATGGGAAATTCAGTGTCAAGGAGTCACTTCCACCCTGGTGTCCTGGCTTCTGCTTCACCCTCTGTTTGTTCCACAGTCACCAGAGGGAGCCCACAGGAACCTGTGTCACGTCAAGCCTTCCTCTGCCTAGACTCCTTTATGACTCCCCATGACCCACAGAAGAAAAGCCGAAGTCTATGCTATAGTCCACAGAGCCTTAGTTGATCTCCCCCAATCTCTCCTTGTCCACCTCGTCCTTCCCCCTCATTTATTTATTTATTAATTTTTGGTACCAGAGATCAAACTCAGGACCTTGAGCTTGCCAGGCAGGTGCTGGGCCACTGAGCTAAATATCTGGCCCTCCTCCTCCTCATCTATTCTGCTCCAGCCACAGTGGTCTCTGTCCGTCCAACACACCTAGCATGGTCCTGCACCAGGCCCTTTGCACTGGCTACTGGAAAGCTCTTCTCCCATCTCTGCATAGTTCCACCCTCCTCTCTCCCCACCCATCTCGTTGATATTTAGAGACACCCCCCCTTCCAAAGCTCCTGCCCATCTGCACTTGTCCTGTGGTTTCTTTTTCTCTTCTGTTCTTTTTGTTGTTGTTGTTGTTGTTATTGTTGTTTTTAATAGTTCAGCTTTTTTTCTTGGTACCAGGGATCAAACTCAGGACCTCGTGCTTGCCAGGCAGGCGCTATGCCACTGAGCTAAATCCCTGGTGGAATAGTTCAGTATTTAATTTTTATCTTTTCAGTCCTGAGTATGGAACCCAGGGCCTTGCACATGCTAGGCAACTGTTCACCAATGAGCTCCATCCCAAGCCTTTTTTATTTTGTACTTTAAGACGCGCTAAGTGCCCAGGCTGGGATCAAACTTGTGATCCTCCTGCCTCAGCCTCCCAGATGCTGGGATGACAGGCGTGCGTGTGCCACCGCACCTGGCTCCAATATAATGTCCTTGTAAAATTATGATTATTGTTTCCTGTCCACATCTCTCCCTGGAGCAGTGGCATTCCATATGGCAACCACATACAGCCATCCACGCTTAAATTAATTAAAATGAAATAAAAGTAAAACACGCAGCTCCTCTGTCGAACTAACCACGTCGGCGAGTGCAAAGAGAACGTGCTGCGGCAGCCAGCTTTCGGGGACAGGGTCGTGGTCCCCGCTGGGCCAGCGCGCAGCAGTCAGGACTGATGGGGGTCAGTCATAGCAGGACGACCCGCCTAGCCTGCAGCCCGACCCGGGGGGCAGGGCCAGGGCGACACCAGGCCCTGGGCGGCCGGGCACGTGTGCACATGCGTGGGGCTGCCGGGCGCTGAGCGCGTGAGCCCGCCAGGTGCCCTGCGCCGCGACACCTGCCCACGGGCTGGCGGTGACTCAGTCGCCCGCGGATGCTGGGTCTATTTTGGGCTTCATTAGCATTTTGGCTCAAGCAGAGGGTGTGGAGGCGCCTGGGTGTGCCCTGGCACTGCCCGCCTCCCCCACAACGCTGCTGGTCTGGAGCCCAGAGGCCAGCAGAGGTCGAGGCCGGCCCAGCCACGTCGAGGGGCGCAGCCTCCCGCACCCCTCCCGCCCCGCTCTCCGGGGCGCCGACCCCCCCCCCCCCCTACTGCGCATGCGCCTCCTGTCCCTCATCTCTGTTGGCGGAGAGCAGGGCCGCCCTGAGGTCCGGAACTTCTTCACACCCATGAATTCGACCCCGACAGCCTCCTTAGCGTCATCCAGCCTGGCAGCTGAGGCAGAGGTCCCGCTTTCCCTGTCGCTGCAGCACTGCACACCCCACCTGGCCTCCCTGTGCCTCAGTCTCCTCATCTGTACAGTGAGAACTTGCCTCACAAGGACACTAAGGATTACCAAGGTCATTCTAGTTCAGCGCTTGGAACCAGCCAGGCACGCAGGTGATAGCAGATACTAGCAGCTTTTTGCTGACAGAGGGGCTGCTCTGTCATGGAGACACTTTGCCTTCAAAAAAGAAGCAAGTGGGCCGGGGATTTAGTTCAGTGCTTTCGCCACCTGCTGCACAAGTGCAAGGACCCGAGTTCGATCCCTGGTACAAAAAAAAAGAAGCAAGTGGGCCAGGCATTTGTTGCACACCTATCATTCCTGCTCCTGGGGAAGCTGAGGTAGGAGGATCACAAGGCCAAGCCCAACCTGCGCAATTTAGCAAGACCTTGCTTCAAAATTAAAAATAGAAGTGCTGGGGCTGCAGCTCAGTGCAAAGGCCCATGCTCTCTGCTCTGGGCTCCCCAAGCTGCTCCCTCGTCCCCAAGCCCAGGCTGCCACACGGGAACAGAACCTACCGTCCTCCGCTGTCCCATTCTGGGGCCTCCGAGGCAGGGCTGCCTCCTCTCCGCTTGCCGCCTCCTCCCAGAAGCCCTCCAGGCCTGGGCTTCCAGCCAGCACCTCCAGCTCAGGCTCCTCTGTGCCCAGGGGGATGGGCAGCAGGGTGCTGAGGGCATCCCATGCCACGGTGGGCTCCCCCGAGGAAACTGAGGCAGCCTCGTCCACTCCAGACACTGCAGTGGTCCAAGGGGGAGGAGCTGGCTTCCCCAGGGGTGCGCCTGGAGCCAGAAAGGCTGGAGGTCCCTGTGTCCCCTTGGCCACCAGCTGACCCTCTGGGTGGGGTTGGGAGCTCGAGGATGGTGCAGATATGGCCCAGACCCCAGTCCCGGTCACCTGGCCCAAGGGTTCAAAGGATGTCCCCACGACTGAGTCCACAGTCACCACAGGGTGAGAGGTGGGGCTCTGGGCTCCTCCAGCCTCGTAGGGCCCGGATGCCCAGACTCTGCCAGCCTCCCTGGGCACCAGCGTGGCTGTGGACTCCACAGGAGCCATGGTAGCTCCTTCAACTGCAGCTGCCCAAGGCTCCAAGCTCGGGGTGGCCCCAGGGCTCCCTGAAGGTACCGATGGTGGGCTAGCTTCCAACCTTTCACTGTGCGGTGAAGACCAGGTGCCTGGCAGCACAGTGGCCTGCAGGCTGGAAGGGGGGCTTTCAGTGACCCCAGACCCAGACCCGAAGATGCCACTGATGCCCACATGCTCCACGGGGACAAGATCAACCATCACATTCCTGTCCACAGAAACCCCTGGGCTGGGGCTAGGGGACTCAGCTCTGCTGAGCTCAGCGGGGCTGGGTGCCCCAATTTCTCCAAAGTCTGCTCCAGGGGAGCTAGGGTTAGTTCCAGCTTGGGTGTCTGTGGCCGCCAGTGAGGGGATCCTGGGACTCCCTGCTCCGTGGTGGCTCAATGTCACAGCAGGAATCTCCCTGCCCTGTCCTGTCGGGCCCAAGGAGGGGGGCAGGGAATGCACCCCAATCTCTGAGGCTAGAGAGGGGAGGACAGAGGTCAGGGCTTTGGTGGGGATCAGTGAAGAGGGTGGCAGGAGCCTCATTTTGGGGCCCCGCAGCATGGCCACAATAGGGAGGTCTGGGGACGTGAACACAGCGCTGGGGCCCTCCCTGCCACCAGGGGCTGGGACTGTGGGCTCTGAGGGGGACCAGGACGGGCTGGGAGTGGCTGGCTGTGCAGCAGGGCCTTCAGTGTCTTCTAGCTTCAGGTCCAGGGTCCTGCTGGATACTGGGGTGCTGGGTGAGATCTGAGTCGGGGGCCACAGCCAGGGTTCTGGGGGGCTCCTGCCCCCAGGGGGACCTGCAATGGCATCAACATGCTGATGTGATTATATCAATTAGACCTGAGCTCTCTGGCCCCTGGGCTGAGGTCAAGGGATTCCTGGGGCTAGGTGAGGTCGGGAGGCCAGTGGGGACTTGGGGCCCCCTCCCCTGTCGTGAGGACAGCAGGGTCTGCTCTCTCTGCCCACAGACCCTCAAGACCCTACTATCACCTCCAGACTCACCTGCACCAGGTACGTCCACCTCGTTGGTCAGAATGGCCCAGGGACTCCCACTCCGGCTGCTCCCGGAGGCCTCTGTCACTGAGAGGTGCTCCACGTGGTTCCCGGCAGCCTCCAGGGGCAACAGTGGGGTGCTGGTCCCCTCCAGCTCTCGGGTGTCGGGCTCCTGTTGCTGGAAGTGGCGGCCGTTCAGCCCTTTGAAGCGTCCCCTCCTCCGAGGCGTGGGGCCTGTGGAGGTCACCTCCATGGACGCAGTCACCGCTGTGCCTGTCCCCCTGTTGTTGGGGCTGGGGGCCTCTGTGCTCAGCCAGGCGTCCTCAGCAGGGTGGCCGGGAGTGGCACTCGGGGTCTTCTGAGACGCCTGCTCCTGTGCCGAGATCAGGGGCTCTTCGTCCCCACTGGACAGCAGAGGTTCCTGGGCGTCAGGGGCGGCCGGCTCCTGCTCCCCCTGGCTGGGCTCCAGGTCCTGGCCTGGGGGTCCCTCTGCCGACAGGATGTCCCCCTCATCCCCAGAGGAGGGGGTCTCCGGGTCTCCATGCTGTGGCGTGGGGTGATGCGCTAGGGAGAGTGCAGAGGCGACGTCAGGCAGAGGAGCTGTCAGGGAAAAGGTGGAGGCCAGCAGCCCTGGAGGAGGACTCAGGACGCAGTCTGGCTCACAGCGAGGCCCGGCAGTGTCCAGCTCTCACCAGGCCAGGTGCGCCTGTGGGGACCCAGACTGCAGACTGGAGTCCTGGGGACAGAAGGTGCCGCACGGGCGTGATCCCCCCCAAGGCTACTTTTTATCCATCCAGGGATGGGCAGCTCCCTCGAAGGACTTGCCCCATGGGATTACAGCTTGCACCTTCGGAGGCTGCCCCCCCAGAAAGGCCCGACTCACTCGGGATCCGCCCTGCTGTGCCCTTCCGTGCCCAGCCCAGAAGCGAGGCCATCCAAAGGAGCGCCTCTGCCAGGGGTGTGGCTATGGGCGTGGCTGCAGGTGTAATCTGCTCCTCCCACGAGCGTGTTTTGGGGGTTATTGAGCCTCAGAACCTCAGAGAGGGGAGCCCAGCAGGTAAAATGCGATTCCCGGCCAGAGCTACACCCTCGGAGGGGCCCCATCTCTCCTCCAGGGCGGGGCAACTAAGGAGAGCACCTCCCCAGGGCGTGGCCTTGGGGGGGCTAGGGCGTGGTTTGCCACAAGTCTTCTCCCAGGAGGCAGAGCCAGCAGGCCCAGAGGCGTGGCCTTGCACGTGTGCGCCCGCCCGGGGCGGAGTCTACAGAAAGCACCGGTCCGAGGCGTGGCCTCTGCCAAAGCGCCACCCTGAGCGGGGGTCCTACCCAATGCGCGCCCAGGGGCAAGGCCAGCAGGAGACAGCGCGCGAGGCGTGACCTCCGCTCCGCCCGTCCGCTGCACGCACCTCGGAAGCAGTAGGCGTCGAAGCGCGCGGCGGGCGCGGGGAAGCCCGTGCGGTTGGCGAAGCGGTACACGGTGCGTACCCCCGGGGCTGGGCCCCCGCAGCGCCGGCGCGGCGTCTGGATCGGGTACCGCACGCTGCCGTCGGCCAGCCAGCCCGGGTCGCACTGGTCCAGACCCTCGTGCCAGGCCAGGTGCAGCTGTCCCACCGAGGCCAGCGTGGCGCCCTGGCGGCGACACTGGGCATGCGCGCCCGCCAGGGTCAGGCGGCGGGCCGGGCCCACGTAGAAGACCTCGCCTGCGGGAAGGGGTGGGCAGGGATCAGGCGAGGGTCCTCGGAGCCCGGGAACGAGGCCCTTTCCAGACCGTCCAGCCCGACCGGTGTGGCCACCACGGCATCTGTGCGTGCAGCCGGCCATCGTCGCTGTCAGGACGCAAAGCACCAGCTGAGGGGGCAACGGGACCCCCGGGCAAATTGGGGTTCAGAGGGGGTCTGAGGACAGGGGGGGCACAGGGGCTCGAGAAGGACTGGGCGCAGCTCTAGACTGCAGCTCAGCTGGGCAGGAGGCTTAGGAACTTGGGGACAGGCTGGGTATGGTGGCACACGCCTGTGATCCCACCACTAGGGCGACTGAGGCAGGAGGATGGCTGAGAGTTCCAGTCCAGCCTGGGCAACATAATGAATGCAAGGCCAGCCTAGACTACATTGCAAGACTCTATCTGGAAAAACAAAATCCGAAAGGAACTTGAGGACACAGAGGAGAAGGGCGAGTGACAGAGACAGGGGTCTCGCTGGCCTGGTCGCGCCAGCCGCAGACTTACCCCCCAGCTCCCGGGCAAAGCAGTACACGTCGTAGAGTTCCTGGGGGTCTCGCCGCCCATAGCTGCGCACCCCTGGAAGGCTGCTGCGGTCGCCATAGCAGCCAGGCCGGGACTGGGTGATGGGGTACCTGGCGGTCCAGGGGGCCCCTCAGATTCGTGCTCCTGAAGCCCCCCCAAGCCTGGCGCTCATCTCCCCGCCCTGGGCTCCCCCTCACCGGACAGTGCGGTCAGAGAGCCAGCCCGCGTCGCAGTTGTCAAAGCCATCCTCGAAGGCAGCCTGCAGGTGCCTCGGGGCTGCGATGGTGGCAGAGCTGAGCCTGCAGGCCTCCTGGGCCTCGGCGAAGGTCAGGGCGTAGCGGTCCCGGGCAGCGCGGTAGTGGAACACGACACCTGTGCAGGGGCATCCAGGGTGCAGGGAGAGTCATGTGTGCCAGAATCTTCCAGAACAGACCTCGCTCCTACAGAAGGACACACCTTTCACATCTGACCATGATAGACCTGCTAGCCACCCAGCACTCAGGAGGCTGAGGCAGGAGGATCTCTGCCAGGATCTTGCTAAGTTGCCCAGGCTGGCCTTCAACTTGGGATCCTCCTGCCTCAGCCTCCCAAGTGCTGAGATCACAGGTGTGTACCCCCATCGCCGGCTAAAAGGGGGGATTTTGAATGTTGTCACCACAAAAAGTGATACCTGTTCAAGGATAGGCTCATTACCCTGATTTGATCATTACACAGTACATATAAGTATCAAAACATCACATCGCACCCCATTAATACACAGAATTGTTACGTCTCAATCAAGACAAAGAATAAGGGGCCAGGGATTTAGCTCAGTGGTTCTGCCGCCTGCCTCGCAAGTGCAAGGTCCTGAGTTCAATCCCTGGTACCAAAAAAAAAAAAGACTAAGAATAAGATGGGAAGTAGTGGTGCACAGCCATACTCCCAGGACTCAGGAAGCTGAGGCAGGAGGATCATTGTGAATTCAAGGCCAGCCTGGGCTACATATCAAGACTCTGTCTCAAAAACAAACAAAAAATAAAAGAAACAAAAATAATCAAAAATCCCTCTTTAACCAGTTAGGAAAACAGAAAGTACCCGGGATATTTCTACAGAAAGAATTTAATAAAGGTGTTGTTTAAATAGATATTGGAGAACTGTTATTTATCCAATATATATTTTTAATCTACTTACTTTTTAAAAATAGCCTTCCTTTTAAAAAGCTTAAATACATGTATTTTAAAAGAAAATGTGTTTGTATGTTAAATCAAAAGCTAATATTCTTGGGGCGGGGATTTAGCTCAGTGGTTCCACCGCCTCCTCTGCAAGCACAAGGACCCAAGTTCGATCCCCAGTACCAAAAAAAAAAGCTAATATTCTTTGTCTTGTGTAAAATTAGGCAACCACAAAAGAAACTCCAAAGAGCAGAGGACTGGGGTAAAGCAAAGGCCCTGGTTCCATCGCTTGCAACACACACACGCAAGTCAGATTACACACTCCTGACTAGGCAAGGTGCCCACAGGATCCTGAGCCGACAACTGGCACCTCTTGGCTAAGAGGAAAGGTGTAAAGGACAGGATGGTCGCCATGCAGCCTTCTTCCCAACTCTTGGGAGAGCTGTAGGGAGTGCTTTCTTCTTTCTTTTTTCTTCTAGCAGTACTAAGGGTTGAACCCAGGGTCTTCACACTAAAAGTTTTTGATGTTTATTAATACATGTTTGTAGTACACAATGACTCCATTCATGGTGAGCTGGCAAATGTGCACAACACATCTCAGTTCCTTTTACTTCTCCTCTCTCTTCCTTCCTTCCCCCTCCCTCTCCTATCTCTTGGCTCCCTTCCCATTTGCAAAAGATCCATCTCTGTTTCCTTATATCGATCTTTTGGGTTTTTTTGGTACCGGGGATCGAACTCGGGTCCTTGCACTTGCGGAGCAGGCGGCGGAACCACTGAGCTAAATCCCCGGCTATTCTATCTTTTACTTTGTTTTTTATTTATACTTTGACTTCCTCATATAAAAGAAACCCTGCAATATCTAAGCTTATGTGTCTGCTTTGCTTCACTTAACATTATGGTTACCAGGTGCATTCATTTTCCTACACATGACTCACACCTATCCTTCTTTAAGGCTGAGTAGTACTCCATTGTGCATAAATGCCATTTTCTTTATCCATTCATCTGTTGATGGACATGTTGGCTACCTTGTTAAATTTAAAAAAAAAAATTTGAGACAGGGTCTTATTATGCAGTGCAGGCTGGCCTTGAACTCACTATGTAGTCCAGGCTGGCTTTGAAGTTGTGGTGATCCTCCTGCCTCAACCTCCCAAGTGCTGGGATTACAGGTGTGTGCCACCACGCCTGGCTAAATTTTTAAATCTTGAGATTTAAATCTTGCTCAGTCATAAATTTGCCCACCCTGGAACTTTCGATCCTCCTGCCTCAGCCTTCCAGAGTACAGACAACAGGTGTGCCCAGAGTCTGGCTAGAGGAAGTGATTGCTAAGGCGACACACTGAGGGGGCTCCGCTCTGACCTCCAGCCATGCCCCCCGGCCCCCACTCACCCGTCACCTCCAGGGGCACCAGGTCCTGCGCATCCTCGATGCCCCTCACCACCTGGCAGCGGTAGAGGCCGGAGTCGCTGGCCCTCAGCGGCCCCAGCAGCAGGGTGGCATTGGCACGACGATGGGGGTAGGCGGGCAGGGACACACGTCCTTGCCAGCCTTTGGCCACCCGCACCACACTGTCCTTGGCCACCAAGATGGGTGCGTCCTGTCGCTGACCCGACGCAGCCCGCACCTTGGTCCACTTGACCCGGGGGCTGTCCCGGGTAGCCCCCAACCTCGGCTGCAAGGTGAAGAGACAGGGCAGGGCCACCAGCTCGGCTAACGCAGCCCGCACCGAGTCCGAGCCCACCTTCTGCAGGCGCAGCCCCTTCTGGGCGGCGGCTGTGGCCATGGTGGCGTCCTGTGTCCCTGGGTGGAGAAGCCAGAGAGGCCTGACTCAGAAGCAGGGCCTGGCAGGGGACAATGTGATCCTCCTGCCTCAGCCTCCCAGAATGCTAGGATCACAGCCGTGCACGAGTACACCCAGCCAGGAATGAGGGTCTGCCCCATCACTGACTTGCTGTGTGGCCATGGAAAATTCACTTTCCTTCTCTGGGCCTGAGTTTCCTCAGGAGTTAAGCAGCAGGTAGGCATGGGGAGGGAACTGGTGTATCTGGAATCCCTTCTTTCTAATACTTTATAGGAATCAGCACATTCCATACGCACAACCATCTGCAGAGGTAGCAATGTCTGTCTTCTTGTGGGGGAGTGGAGGAAACTAAGGCACAGAGAGGTGCTTATCTACAGTCACCCAGGAAATCAGTGAGGTATTTCTCAAGTCCCTGGGAATCCAGGAGAGGCACATGGATCTCCATTTCCCTTGCCCCACCCGTGGCAGGCATCATTAATCAATCTCCTCACTGTTTCCCTTTCCTTTTTCACTTCATTTCAGCAAAACAGTGAGAGGTGGGAACCTCCAGCTTCCACTGATAATGCCTAAAAATAACCTCTTAGGTATCTTGTTCTCATTTGACTGTTCAAAGACCTTTTTCATCTATTCTTGTTTCATTCTCTACACTGAGCCAGAGGACCAGCAAGAGAAAGCATTGGAATGAAAAATCCCCACCTTGTCACCCCTGGGCCTGGGCAGTGGCTGCAGAGTGAAGTACCCTCCCTCACAAACCAACTCACCCTGGTCCCCAGCCACCACCAGCAGCATCGGTAGCATCAGGAGGCCCAAGGCCCAGACAGATGTGGCCTCCATCCTGCAGCTGGAAGGAAGGCAGGAGGGAGGATGAGTGACAGCTGAGTTTCCCAGACACCCAAGCTAGAAGAGCTGAATGCCTCCACTCGGTTCAGAAACCGAGCTCAGAACCACCAGTGGGATACCCAAGATCAGGGCGTGGGGGGGGGATATTAAGGCTGGATTTGAACCCAGTGCCACCTGGCTTCAGAATCCAATCAGGAAATTAGAATCAGACCTGGATTTGGCCCTCTATCTGTCCCTTGCTGTGTGACCTTGGGCAAGCAGCTCAACCTCTCTGGGCCTCCCTTCCTTTGTGGGTCAGACAAGGACAACATCAGAGGCTTGGAAGGGATAGATGAGCCAATAAATACATAAAATGTTTGGGACTGCCTGGCAGGAAGTTCATTTTAGCTGTCGCTAATGTTATTATTGAGTTTCATAGGCAAGACTGAAATCCCAGTTTTGGAGTAAGCCTCCCCTATCAGACTGGGGGCTCACAGAGGCAGCAGCCAGCCCTGGTCCCCACTGCCCCGGGTCCCCAGTGCGGGGACCCCAGATGAGCTGCCACGACACCCTTTCATCTGGGCTTGCTGACTGACACGATCTCAGCATCAGTTCCAGGATTTGGTCATACCAAGAGTCTATTCTTGGTTTCTGGGGTATTTGAGGAGCTGCCAAGTCCCAGCTGGAGGAAGAGGCCTCGCCCCTGCCCACCATACCCCTCTGCTGGCTGGTCCCAGTATGGCCAGGCTGCTCCCCATGCCCAGAGGCTGTGGATCAATTGGGACTGGGGTTCAAAGGCACAAAGCAGGCCAGCACCAGCGATGAGTGAGCTCCGTCCACTGCAGCCTCAGGGGAACACACCCCTGCCCTTCCGAACACACGCACGTTCTCCGGGAGACTAAATACTCTAGGGCGGCTGCCTCCCTGAAGTCCCCCACCGATGGACCCCCATCCCTGGCCGGGCCTCACTCAGGAGGCGGGGCCAGATGGGAAATTAGGACGCCTAGGCAAACCAGCCCACACCGTGCCCCTATTTACAAAACAGCCCCAGGACGGGGTTGTGGGTGGAGCCTGGGAAGAGAGGCTGGGGGGCAGTGGCTGGGCCTTCCCGGCCTCCCTGTGGCTTCCAGAGGCCCCAGGGGACCCGGGTGGCCCTGTCCGTGGTGCTGAAGCGGGTGGGGTCCGGTCCTGCCTCTGGTCTGCCTGCAGTGCCTCGGCGCTCAGAGAGGGTGGCGCTGCGCCTCAGCTGCACAGCGGGCAGAGGCGGAGGCCGGCAGGTAAACCCCAGCAACCTCTCTCTCCGTCCCAGACTCCGCCTTTCTCCTCCTCAGAGACCCAATAAGTGTGGGGTATCCCGTGCTGTCCCAGCAAGCATGGAAGATTCTTAAATTCCCTTTCTCTCACACACAAGCCCTAGGATTCCATCCAAATGACCTGGCCTCAAGCCCGGTCTCTACTCCATGCAGGCTACTGAGTCCAGACAAGCTGGCGAGCACTCAGGGTCTCAGTTTACCCATCTGTACAATGAGGATCGCCCAACACGTATCTCATAAAGGTATCACGAGGATGCAGTGAGCTAAGACTTGTAAAGCCCTAGACGTGCTAAATTTAAAAATAGCTCTTTGTACACAAAGCCTCGTGTACACACTAAAAATACACCGTGGTGGTCCAACATGGTGACAGACAGCTTCAGGTGCACACTGCCCCTGTGCACCCTCCTGCCTTCCAGTCACGCACCCACACCCTTCTTAACACCTCCTCCCCGGCCGCCAGAGGTGAGCATTTACACAGCTGTCTGGGGCCTTCCCCTCATGAATGATGCATGAGCTTCGTGCATATGCAAGCAGGGGCCTGCAGGGTGCTGGGGCAGGGGAGGCCAAATCAGCATGAGGCTCTGTGCGTGGACCCCAAGTGCAGGGAGTCAGTCGTCGGGCATTTCTGTGTGTTTTCCATTGGGAGTGTGCATGGCTGGATGCTGGGTGGGTGGACATCGGGTGTGTGACAGCCCCATGCTTGCAGTGGATGGAAGGGACCTGGTGTGATGTCTGAGTGGAGGTCCAAGTGCCCCTCGGCAAGGGCCACACACACGGGTGCTTCTGGGCTGGGAGACAGGGTGTGTGTGTGTGCGTGTGTGTGTGTGTGTGTGTGTGTGTGAGCTTTCGTGTGGATATGGAAGTCGTTGGAGGAGAAAGGCAGCCAGGCCCCTTTGGGGACTTCAACCTAGCCCACAGGGGGCTCCCCAACTTTGCACACAGATTCACACCCCATCCACACTCAGGGCCCGACAGCATGGAGACCCTCTCTGCCACACACGCGGGGCCACACACCCGGACACAGACCTGGGAGACACAGACTCCAGCGACACTAACAAAGAACAGAACATGGGCCTCGGCAAGGCAGGTGGCACATCCTCCACACAAAGGCTTGGCCCCAGTTTCTGTCTCCCCAGAAGCCGGAGCCCACTCCCCACTCACACATACAGCCTGCCCTGCTGGCCCCAGCACAGCCCGGCATGGATTAATGTGGCCTCCGGGACCGATGGGCACACATTGTTTGGCCACCTGGCGATGTGGCCCCCTGGCACTAGTTTTCCGACAAAGACACTGAGCCGAGTCATATTGGATTCATAGAACCCTAGCCCACAGGGCACCTACCCTGCCCTCCTCTTCCTGTAGACACACAAAGCCCCACTTCCTGGCGGCCGGGAGACCTTCTCTTTCGGAATGTCCAAGAGCTGCTAAGGCTGGAGGTTTGGGGTCTCACAGTGCCCCCAGCCTCCTCATCCCATCCCTGTGTCCTCCCCTGCCACCCCATCTCCACGCCCCCTGCTGGGGCCACTGCCAACTCTCCTCAGCCTGGCCATTCCCCATTGATGCCGCTGAAAGGAACAAAGCCCGCGTGCAGGGATGGGGTCCCTCCCACCCAGGCTGGGCCTGGGGTCCCAGCCCCCTACTTCCAGCACCTGTGCCCTCAAAGCCAGCTGGGCTTCCACATGCATCTCTATGCGCAGCAATGGAACCAAGGTGAGGCCAGGGTCTGTGTCGGTCTGGAAGGATGGGGGGGGTCTTGGGGCTGGTATCCCTCACAGGTTCTGGGGATCCATAACTGGGAGTTCTTAACACCCCCCCAGCATTTTCCTGGGACACCCAGAGTGGCTCCCTGGGAGAAGGGCGAGCACCCCAACTCCAGATCCGTGGGGGAAAATGGGGGCGCCCTTGGGATGAGGCCCCTAGAACCTCCTGAGTGAGGACGTGGTGACAAGCCCTCTCCCAGAAGGACCGGGGCGCAGCGCCAGCTCCCCTTCCCCAGGGTCATCACTCTCAGGGCAGAACCCCTTCTACAGGGCTCAGGATGATCTGGGGGTCCCCTCCTCACTGCAGACCAGCCCGGAACCCTCCCCCATCTGCAAATTGGGAATCCCCACTTAAAATCCTGGGGTGCCTCAGCTCAGACACAGGGGTGCTCTGCTTCAGGGTCCCCCCTATTCAGCCCCTGGGTGTCCTCCTCTTTTGTCCAAACTCGGGGTGCCCCTCCCCTAGCCCTGCTTCCCAATGCCTCCTCCCGAATCCTAAGACTCAGACCCAACCTGGACCCCTCCCCACTGTGAGGGTGTCTCCCCCCAAGTGCGTCTCCTCTTGACAGCCCCGTGCCCCCTCCACATCTGCGCTCCCTCCCCAAGCGGGGCTCCCCTCCCCCACTCCCCTCCTCATCCTGGGGGGCTTCGCACTCAGCCCTCATCCCTGGCCCCCTCCCCAAACCCAGAGCCTATCTCTGCCCCGAGATCTCCTCCCCGAGCGCGGCCCCCTGCCCACGACGGAGCCCCCCACACCTGGCTCCTAGCTCGGGCGCATCCCTGGCGGCCGCACAAAGGACGCGGCCGCTGCTCCGCGCCGCTCCAGCCTGCGCCCCGCGCTCTGCTCGCCGGGCGCCGCCTCGCGCTTATAAAGGGGCCGCGGGCCGCTCTGCGCATGCGCCCCACCGGTGGCTCCCGCGCGCGAGGGAGGAGGCGCCCCCCGAGACCCCACTGCTTTCCCGCCGCGCGCCTCCGCCTGGGGAACCTGCACCCGGCTTCCCCCTTTCTCTTTGCTCCAGGGACCCCGTTAAACATCCCCAAGAACTTCTCACGTGGGAGCTTGCCCCATTTTACAGGTGGGGAAACTGAGGCTGTGGAGACAAAGTTGCTTCTCAAGGTCACACGGAGAGGAGGGAAGAGCTGGGATTTAAACCCGGGTCCGACAGACTCTCCAAGGCTCAGGGTAGAAGCAGCTGTGGCCACGATGACTGTTCTATCATAAAGAGGAAACCGAGGCTCAAAAAGGGCAAAAAGGCTCCTGGGTCACAGCAGGGTCAGAGTGCGGTGTGCCCCTGCCTGGCGTCCAACTGACAGCATCCAGGCGACTCCATTCTTTCACACGTTCGTTCATTCTTCACTCTGCCCATTTTTGAAGCCTCCCTGTGGACTGGGTGCTGCGCTCAGCACAGGGGTAGCTTTGCTTGTGGAGAGCACAGCAGGTCATTGACCAGAGACCCCGGGTTTCCTGGTGGTTGTTGTTGCTACTGGAGAGCAACCCCAGGGGTGCTCCACCGTGCAGCTACACCCCCAGCCAGTACCAGGGATCAAACTCAGCATCTTGCACTTGCAAGGCAGGCATGGTGCCACC